TAGATACTTTTGCTTGTGATGAGAGTGGGATGGAGATGTTGGTAGATGCGGAATTTGACGAAGAAAATCATATCCACATTGTAACTCCGGATTTGATTATGCCTGAGGAGATGAGCATCAAATTTGAGGTAGAGCTTACTCCAAAGCTCGAATATCTTGTGTATGAGTTTGAGAGATCGGTAGGCAAGCAACCCATCCTAGTCTCCTACCGACTGATTTCCCAAGCAAACGAAAAGTACCATGGGTTGGGATGGTCATTACAAGATTGCAATCTAGTCCATGATATGATTGCAAAGTATGTATCAAGACTGACGGATGGATGCGCAATCTACAAGGCTTTGGATTGGACATAATCCGTCCGAATTGTGTCGAGCCGTCGACTGTAAAACAGGCGCTGAATGGGAGGCAACCCATTATTTATTTTGTTAGTTTTCTTTTATTTTTGCATTTTTTTGATTTAAAGCTAAATTTCACCCATTTTCTTGATTTTTGCCGGTATCTCGTTCCCAAGGAAAGAAGAGTAAGAAGTCGGGAAGTCTAGACAATTCCGGCAATTCACCCTCGGTGCCAAAATTCACGGCACCCCGTGCAAACAAAGAACACTTTCACAACCGTAGAACACTGATCAATCTGCGGCACGACTGTTCAGGGCGTATTTCTTTTTCCTTTCTTTTATTTTTCGCATTGAGGGCAATGCATGATTTAAGTTTGGGGGTGAGTTTAGCTAATTTTGATTTGGTCTTTTGCATGCATATCATATAATTTAGTTTCATTTATGTACTTCAATTTCCGTAATTGTGTTATGTTTGTCACATGCATTTCATTTAGGATCGAGTGTAAGTTGCATTTCCGGATTTTATTGAAGCAAAGCAATTAATGAATTAGTAGATGGGCTAGTTGATTTTAAAATTGAAATTATGGATAACCGGCTAATTATAGATGTACCTTCCGACTGCGTTTTTGCAACTTGTGTGGATAGCCTTTCGAATCCTTTCCGATTAAGCTTGAGCGCACTTTTTTGAGGGGTATAATAGTCTGAGGTTTGGGGGGCGAGTTAGAATTGAATTATGTGTTCACGATTTCCAGTTGTTGGCTAAAAGTTCTATCAATGGTCTTTACGTTTTTATTTTATGTTCGATGTTAAAAAAAAAAAAAAAAAAAAAAAAAAAAAAAAAGAGGAGAAAAATAATAATTTGTGGTATTGTTGTGATTCACGCTCTGATTTCCCCGCCTTTCTGACTCGAGCTTAACCCATTGGGTGCACCTCGTCGCCTAAGTCTCTCGAGCTGTCGAGCTTGGGGGTTTCTTGGACTAAAGTTCGATACATGGGTCAGGGAGATAACACAGTGGTGTCGAGCCTTGCACGAGTCACGATTATGCCCGTTTCAAAAAAAAAATGAAAAAAGGAAAAAGTTGTGATGAAAATCACCAAAAATATTGTAGTTGTCATTTCTTTTATTTGAATAAATAGACCTACTTATGCCCAACTCGAGTTTTTGAATTTCTGAATCAAAACTTACTTTTCACCCACATTTCTACTCAAAACCCTCGATAATTGTGTTTATTGTTTAGTTACGGATTCTTGAGTCTATCTTTCATTTTGGTGTAGAAACAACTAATTGCGTCGGTAAGAAAGTCGAATACCTTAAGCCGTATGCAACTCTAAGATTTTAGGTATCTAGCTCGT